AATCTCTTGATGTCAACAGTGGTTTGGCTGAACAAGCCGCTTCGATTGGTCAATTCATGATGAGCACCCCCGATCAAGCATGGAACAGACCGTGTTGTGCAGAAGTCGTCAGTCCACCTTGTGCCGAAGTCGAAGCACCACTTCGCTTAGAACTGTTTCCTTACGTACCCACCGGTTCCCGTCTCTTACGCCCCACAGTATCCACAAGAACCGAAAGTCACGTCCCAGAATGTGTTCAAATGGATTCCCGTTCTTCAAAACCCAGTGTTGTTTTGCGGAACCGGAGTGAAGATAGCCTACGTGTATTTGAGCAGTCGGCAGACGTCGACCCATGTAAGCTATTTTCTGTAGTGTATTTCATGTTGAACTAAAGGCTATTGATTTATGTGCACAATAAACCGCCAGTTTTATCTGTTCGGTGATGCGCGCTTATTGCCAAACAACGCTGCGCACTTTGAATCGGCCGTAACGTCAAATTCCTCATTCTTCTTAAATGCAATTAGAGACCTAACTTGCAAAATGTATGTTGAGTTTTCGGATTCATTTATTTAGCCCCTGTTTCTCCCTACCCTAGTGAATGGGCGCTCAATGACAGCCTGTTGTCGATGCGGTCACATCGTCCCACAGACATTCCCCATCGATCCACAATCTAATTTAAGTGCTGTAGTGTGTGAAAAGCTGGTATTGTCCGAGGACCAGTGCCATTCCACGAACGCGCTACCGAACCGTCACCATGCGTTCCCTCGGCGTCGGCCACATTCACCTCACGAACCACATACCGCCGCCATCCCAGTTGGGTCTTGCCGCCCGAACAAGCCGTACTCCCAAATGACTGATGATTCTTTGCCGTCGCGTTTGGCCAATCAAATGATCACCTCTGATGTAACTGGTACTCCTAGCGAGACACCTTCCTCCAGTCAGACGTCAATTCAAAGTTTGCATTCTGGGAATATGTTCCAGTTAATTAACCATACAAACACGGATTCCGTGATGCACGCAGTGAATCGCAGTATCACGGAGGTTATTGCTGGTTTGTTTGTCAACATGGGTGAACACGGATCTGCGTCCAGCCTACAGGTTAGCTTACTTCTCAATTTCAAATATCCTTTGGATATTTCCATTATATTTGCATGTTGTCTCAGGGAGTGTTGATCAACCTCGCGAGACACGACTCAACAGATATATATTGCTGTTTCCATTAGTATACTTGCACATAAATAGCCAGGAGAAAAAAGCGTTTATTCCTAATTGCAACGCTCTGAATTGGAGTGGTTATGGTTAACAGGATACACCTTACAGTAATTTGGCAGTTTTTACACAAAATAAGACATTCGATGTAATGCATCCCAAAGATTCATTTTTTCTAATAAGTGATTAGAAATGTTTCTTCTTGTCTATTTAGATCTTCAAAATGAGATGAGTTTTTCCATACGCTGCGAGATGGATTGACCGACTGATAACTTTGTTACCGTACATTGAAAAAATTGACTCCAAACTGCTAACTTCAAATCGCTAGTTATTGAAGAGAATAAAGTATATCTCAAGAGAAGCAGAAGACGGTGTACGGTTCCGTAATCATTTTGTNGTCACCAGTCTCAAACTGGAATGTTAAAATTCTACCGTCCCCAAAGAATGACTAGGTTGCTGATGGAAGCCGAACAAAAGAATACATGTATTGGTTTTGCCAACAAATTCAACTCTGGTTCTTCTGGCATTCAATTTATTTCACTGGCAAATGCCTGGTATTTGACGATCAAGACAGGCGGAAAAAGCTCACGTCAACCCGGTTTTTTCAAAATAATCAATTTCGATCATCAACAGTAAATATGCGTAAACTCTGTGTTGACGTCGGCTAACTCCAGGGTGAAGCCGGCGTGCCGCATGTGCTGTAGGAAACAAAAATCATTTGATTGCTAAGTTGGACTTTATGCCAAAACAACTAGTCCCAGTGCCTAAAAATAGAATTACAACTTCCATATCATGCTCACTTATATCCTTACTAATCCCTTAACAACCGCGATCCAAATCAAACATTAATCAAAGCAGGTGGATACTACCAAAGGTATATTGTGCCTGGTCTGAAGTAGTATCATATCCATTTCAGTGATTGAAGCCTACAACGTTAAGCACTAAGGAATGATTTGTCGAAGGCCTCGTTATTACACGAGTTCAGTGAATACCTGTACTGTTGAGTGGATGACCTCATCCTAATGTAGGACTGTATTGGCGAGTTACCGAGTTTCTTTTTGATTGTTTGGTTTAATTTAACATTCACTTTATCATTGAGCATTGTTTCTTCGTTCCTCCATTTGACTTTGAATTGTTGCATATGACGAATTAGTCCATCCTCTTCCACGAATCAATTCGCGATGAACAATCTGGAACCACTGTAATGGTATTTAACGACGTGTTTCTGAGAAGCTTGGTCTACAGTGCCCAATCTTTTGCGTTTCATGCATGGACTATATTTATTCTATCTCTGTTACGACTGTGCCAAACGTTCATGGTGCGATCATCGTTAGGGATATGCTCATTGTTAGCTGGCTAAAAATTGAATACCGTTTCACTAAGATCATTGTTTTATCTGCTTACTGTCATACTTAATCCCTAATCAACCACCCAGTTATCGCCTTCATAGCATTATTCAAAATAGTATTCGTATTTAAACGCGCTCGTTGTCTCGCTACGGAAATGCCCCGTCGATTAGCTCGATCAGCGTTTGTGACCATGGATGATTCAAAGTGGTCTTGGCCCATCGTTATCTGTCACTGATCAAATCTCTTTCTAGCGGTTGGTGATATTTCTGGATTTCGTCTATTTTTATATTTTACAGGAGACCACGTATCGCGTCTGTCGATGGGAATTAAACTTATGCGGTCCTATACAAGCGGATTGCGCACGGTGTTCCCCCAGAAAATCTAGCCATCCGGTTGCACCAGAAGACCCGTCGTCACCTCGTTCCTTTTTACCCATGCCAGCCAATGTTGCTGTCTCGTATAACACCAATAGCTTGGTCATCCCACACGCTCGACTTTTCAACGACTCTTCCATTTGTCTGTCGCCGGATGGACGAATGCTGGCTGCTTTTGTTACTCCATGTTCCACCTCAGATCGTGTGTCCGACTTGCGCCACGGCGATCGTTCAGCGACCAATATGGACAGCAGTGCAAGCTCATTGGACACAATGCTAGCAGTCTACCGTCTCCAGCCTCGATCACGACGCGGTCAGTGTTTGTTTGCGCATCGGTTTCGTACGTGTACTCCTGTGTGTCTGGATTTCTCGCCGCTGAGTGATTATCTCGCTGTAGGAATGGCTACATCGCGGTTACCTTCTGCAGCGTTGCCGACTTCCTCAATACGTCGAATGACTGGTAGCGGCATGATTGTGGATGCTGCTGGCAGTCAAGGTGACCTTTTGGACGTGCAAAGTTTACGAAGCACCACAAGGGATGAGGCTGTTCAATCTAACGCACCTGATTCCACTCTTCTTCCAATGCGCCATGCGTTTGTTGGTACGTCTTTATTACTGTGTATACTTTTCTCTTTCGCACATTGTATGAAAGGCGGTAAAAGCATTGAAGATCACTGTCATGTCGGCCTACCGTGTAATTATATAAATCCTCACACTGAATACTGTGACTTGCAGCGGCGGAGTAAATTCAGTTGCAATGATAGAGATGTAGTAGCTACTTGACTTTAAAGTTACTTATCATCTTGACCAACGAAACCTGTTTGAATCTGTTAGATTTGTGATAGAAGGTATAGAAGCTCAGTCTTTATATTCAGTAGATCACTCGCGTTTGATACCTACTTATTATAGAAGATGTGTACAAATGTCTGCAGCCAATCACGATTCTGTTTCCAATAATGTATCTATAGTATGTGTTTAGATTTTTCTTCTCCAGGGATATATATTTATATCTGAAAGGTTCCCATCACAGCATTGAGAACAAACACAGTTTGGCGAAACAGTTGTTTTTCAGTAATTCCTTCTCAAGCCGTTTACAGATAGGTAACATGGCCCATGATCGATCGGTCCCGAGTGTGTCCGCCGTCCGGTTACCCTGATGCCATAACTTTGTTGAACCAATCAAATAACGAATGTCAGTTGACTATGACAAACTCTTACTCATGTTTGGTGATGTGTCTAACTGCGTGATCTGTTTTCTAATGTTACCTATGTAATCTGTAAACGGCTTGAAAAGGAATTACTGAAAAAACAATTGTTTCGCCAAACTGTTCTAAATTTATATATATTCAAGGCGAAACCAGTGGCATAGAATTGCCATGTGCCACAACTTATGACGTAAAGAGGGCAAGAGGCACGCCATTGGCATCGGTTACCACTCATGCCTGTTAGTTTCTCAGGCCATAGACGTTCTCTGTCCTTGAAAACCTCAACCAGGGAGTCCAGAGTGTCCTACCCCTACTAGTTTCGAACCATGTGATCTGTTGGTGCGGTAACGTGGAAATCTGTGAGAGATCCGTTATTGTTTGCGACCGTAACACAAAGCAATTCTTGGGCAGAGATGAGAATACATGCAGTGAAAGAAAACTCGTTGCACTTAGTTTCCGTTTTCAGAGATTTAGGGGTATTGTGTTGATTTTAATCACAGTGTAACCACTTCCCGTCGTTCTAATGCCGTTTTGTCCCAATTCTTTAACAGCTAGAATCTTTCGACTTGAACGGATAGCGCAAGACATCGGGACGCGATGCACCACGAGTCCTGTAGTACGGCGACTCAAAGAGATAGTCAGTATACAGCATCCTGGTATGTCCATTCCCGTATCATCGTCGTCCCTGCAGTCATCAAATCAACCAGTCCTCAATAGTTTGCCTAGTCGCTGGCATCGTTTGCTTCTGTCTTCTCCTGCCGGGATTTCGCTCAACACGATCGTTTGGAATCCTCATGGTGGTCTGTTCTATGGAACCACCAAAGGACTCGTGGTTTTAATGCAATCTGAACCGGATGCATTTTCCCACAAAATGGATTTCACTCCAGGAGTCTCAGCAGTTCTCTCCGCTCCAGATGTAGACTATGAGCAGGACAATGCCCATACATCATCTAGAACTAAGCATGGAATTTCCTCTGTTCATCGTCTAACCTGCGGCTCCGGGCGCTTTGTTCGCCTTGCTCATCCAGATAGCTCTTCCCTGTGAATACCTACTTTATGTCCTAATTCAGACGCATTGGCTATTTCACGACTTCGTGGGTGGTTTCAGCTGCATTTACTTAGGTTTCTCATGATGTATTCAACTACGGTGTGCTATGCAACCGGAAGGTCGCAGTTCCTCCAGCTATCCGCATAAATCCCCGGTTAACTACACTCTAATCTAATGTTTAATTCCAGAGTTTCTTTCCTTTCGGTTCTGTCAGAATCCGGAACCCCGGTGGCAGTTTTATTGAACAAAGTATTATTTTTGTATGTACTATCCTGCATCTGAAAACTCATACGATATCTTTTATCCCATGTATTCACACATCTGCTTACCGGTGTTTTATCTTATCTGTTATTCGTGGTGGTTTGCTTTTCTCCAACCGGTAATTCTTCAGTTTTCTCTGCTGCGGACGATACTTGATTATACGGGTTTTACTACCTCATATTGATGCACTTTTTTGTAGGTTTATCTTTTTTCTCTTTTTCCAAACCGTCTTTTTCTGCTTGCTATCATCTTTAATCACCCGGCCAAACTCCACAATGTTTAGTTTTTTATAACAAACAAGGCAAAACGCAATTCAGGTTTTCGCACCTTTTCTGCTGATCTGCAGGACACATTAAACCGGTTTTTGTGTAGATCAGAATGTGAAAGGGCGAGTCTTTCACCAAGCGTTTTGCCACTCAGGGTTTATCTTGACGTATTTGTTCGTGTGGTGTGATAAAAATGTATCTCCGGGGTGTTCTGTTCTACTCTGTTAGATTTTACCCTAGTTCCCCTGTACTCTGCTACTTGAATTCCACTGTTACTGACTTGTCTACTATTTCCACTCAAAGTATGTGCTGTTTGAATGACTTGCTTGATCGACATGGTTTTATCTTGCTCTGCCGATGCATTGCTGCTCACGAACAATCGATTTTAATTGACGTTTTGTCACCTGTTGGTCTCTGGTAGACTTTCCTCACCGGTTGTAGATGTGTGTCCGCGTGGGTGTATGTACTGTCCCTGTTCACTGGTTTGGCTCCGTTTTGCCCAGTGCATAATGATTTTGAATACGTTTCACGGTGAACTTGTTTCACCAGACCCAGTAAAAATAACACTCAATCACTACTCTGTGCCTTTTGTTTTCAACAGAGGTTTGCTCATTTCCCAAGATAGCTTCACTGTGGCATATTATTGTATCACTTTATCTAGTTGAAATCCAGCTAATTTAAAAAATCAATGATTCACTTCATGCGGCGATTGACTGGTGCGTGTATGGCGGTGTTCTAGTCGTCTGTTTGTAGCACAACAATGCTGGTAGCTTGATCCAACTCATTTGGTATAGCCTTTGAACGTGGTATGTGTGGTTGCGCTATATGAGGTAGTACTTGACCTGGATTGGGTTAGTCCATTTGTGTTGACTGCATGCGAGCGTGTGCAGCATCTCCGGTGACCCTGCCAACGGTTCAGGTAGCCCGCAGTCATGACTGGCTGGTTGGATGCATGGCAAACGGGTCTCGTGATGAATGCTCAACTAATATTTAACGAAGTAAAGAGGGTTGTTCGCACGAAATCACTGTTGACCCCTGAGTTCGCCAATAAGTATGTGCAGCTCAGTCGCTTGTTGGCAGTACGCTCCTTGTGTGCATATTGTTTCTTTTAATATGCTGTCTGTTTACCGCCACCGATTTAAAGTCTCAGGAAAGTGTCTAATATGTGGATTTTATTTGCTAATCTGCAATAAAGCCTGAATTGACTTGAAAATATGTAGATTGACCGTGTTTTGTGGGTCAAGCTGAGTTCACTCATCCTCAGGACTGCTGCTGCACTTTGTCCAATGGACGGTTTTTTTGCGGACACCTGGTTATAAGTTGACTTCCTGGATATGTCGAGAGAAATACTCCAGATACAGCCCATCGAGCTGGATCGTTTTGATTCTTTCATATTGTCCGCAGCACTATACGAAATTAGGCTTTGTCTTGTAAGTTGATTTCGACTTCGACGAAAGAACTTCCTCAAACCATTCAGGTGATTTTGGGTGCAGAGAGGACGGCAATCTATTCTATAGAATATCTAACCTCATCATATGATATGAGACATTGAAGGATATGGCAGCGAACCGACAGCATTGGCGTTCTTGTTGTCGTTTCTTATCAGGTCAAAATACCCGAAGCGGTATGTATGCAGAGTTCGATTGCATACTCTGTATTGACCAGAGAGGTTCCCCTTCTCGCTCCATCAAAATAGGTCCAATCCCTGTCCACTTTAAATTTTACCACTAACCTTGTATACATTGCGAGTTTGGCAGCGACCAGTGAATTTCGCCTCACTGTATTTCGCTGTTCGATGATGATGGTTTCCTCGACGGACCTCCAAGGTACTCTAACGCTTCGCAGCTTAGTTTATATGGACTCAAATATCACTCATGGTGGTTTCGAAGTGTCTAGATTTAAGGTGTTGGAAGTCGTCGAGTCCAAATCGTATTTTTCTGTCCTAGGCCTATGCTCGGACGTGACTCAGCATTTAAAAGTTTCCTCCGTGTCTGTGGGGTTTTCTGTGCGCAAATGCAAACCGAAAGGACGGAGGAGTAGCGATGAATTTCGACAAAATTTAATAACAACGCTTGCGTAATATTGCACTGGGAATCTCAATAGCTTCTCGAACATCGCATCACATTCTACTATTCTTTGTTTCTTCTGACAGTATCACGCCCCTAAACAAAGCATGGGTTGATTTCTTTGTCATGTAGTTACTCCTTCAATAACCTGTTCAGTACATTTTGAACTCAGAAAGGTGAAAGTTGGATTATGTTCAATAATCGGATGACTAGAATTGAGACAGGCGCAGAATACAAGAAAATGGTTGCGCTGCTAGTTGTTGGAACCTACTGCGATTTTTTTAAACAAGGCATAGATTCGCTTTCCGGTTGCTCTCCAGATCCCCAATAATGCTGTGAAACGATCCAGCGGTACCATCGCGTGCCGTAAAATTGATCCATTTAGTTATCGGATTTTGTCTTTTCACCTGCTACAAATGGTCAAACACTACCACAAGTTGGTTTATGTGAGTTTCGTCGAGTCCAGTGCAAATCACGGGAGCTGACCAGCTACTTAACACTGGGCACCTGTTTATGTTTTTATAACTTGTGCAAGTTTATATGCTTACATTTCAGTTAAAAATGCATACTGGTCGTCACCCATAGTAAATTATTCAGTTTCATATGACCCGTAAAGTGAAGTGTCACGGAAGTTTGTTTTATGTACACAAATGTTGATGTACTTCACTTACGTGTCGGACCATGTAGGGATTTTTATAGATGGTGGATGCCGAGAAGTGGAGTGAGTGGCGGATTAAAATTAGAGGATGATAGATCGGAATGTAGTGGATAAAGAGAGTGGTCTAGAATCTTATTGGCAAATTTAACAAGAGTTGATGTGACCATGAGTGAGTTCTGTGATTGCTGAATCAATTGAGATTAGTGAAGCACGGTTGATTATCACAAATCCACGACGAATAGCTTTTGATGTTTTGTTTTAAGAGAACAGGAGCAATAACGTAGAATGGGTAAAACGCATTGGTAAACGGAAGAGGACAGGACTGACTGTAAGGTTCAGAATTGCCTGAGTTTGCGCGAATGAAAGAGAGGCGCCTCCCTTTTTTGATTCAAATATCAATGTGTGTGGACTACCGAAGATTACTGTCGATGGTAATACCCAGGTACTTGACTGAGGTCACTCTGGACACAGCTTTTAACTTATGAGTGGTAGAGTCCGCGGGAAATGCACTTCAAGCACTCGGGCATTTTAAGACTAAGGCCAGATTGATTGGATGTGGGAGAGGTTTTTGGTGAAAGAATCAAATTCTGAATGATAGGAAATTGTCTGACAAAACGGCATCGGTAGCATATTTTCGGATGTGTGCAGGGGGTGGGACCGAGAGATCACTAATAAAAACAGAAAAATTATGGAGATAGAATAGCACCTTGAGGCACACCAGAATTATTAACAAAAGATTTTGATTTCTCCCTCTGTTAATTAATTAGAAAGTCATGAGATCAGCTGCGTCGAATTGCCAAAAGTTTGAAAATAAAGGACGATCGAGGACCAATCAAGTGTGGATGAATAGTCAAGAGAAGCACAGTGGACAGACTTAGTTGAATTGTTCAATGACTTAATGATAAAATAGATACGGCGTCCAGCATAGATCGGTTGAGTCTATATGAAAATTGGAGGGTCCATAGGGGAGTGTGTACAGTTGAGGGTAAGGACTTGGATATTGGAATAATGGTAACTTGACGCCAAGTATCAGGAATTGACAGGGAAAGGGTTGTCACCATGTTGGTTAGGGAAGCTGCTCAACATGTGACAAGTACCGAAGAAAGACCGTCAGGGTTTTCAGCTGAGGATCGGAAAAGCTTAAAGATTTCGTCATTGGAAAAGGCACCGAATTAGATTCATTGCACAGGAAGGAGAGAATCCGGCTCTCGTTTGATGAGTAAAAAAAGCTCCGTTGAGGGTTTTGACGTCCAACAGGGTATTCGAGTGTTTTCTGTTCTGCCCACAGAGAAGGCGAATACCTTGCCATAAACGCTTGTTCTTTTTGGCGAAGAAGAGGGCATTCAGGTGCGTTATCGCAGACCTGATTAAGTCGGAATAGTTTACAACTGATGTCTGGCGAGGTTTGTCGGCCCTTTCTTTGATCCTTCACTGGTAGAACCTGGGGAGCATTAGTTTGAGCGAATAAGTTGAGGTGATTTGTGATCACTCTGTCCAGTACAGAACTACCTCTGGTAGGAACATTAGACGGGTCAAACGGAAGCAAGATAATGCAGGCATGATTGAAATCACCAACAAGTAAGTGAAGATTTCATCTAATCATGGAACTAGAAACGGGATATAGAAACCAAGGAAAGCGGAGATTTTCGTCTGAGAACGCGATAGAAATATATGCACGTTACCGATGATTGTAGTTTTGTGATAGTTAAATTTGGGATGGTAACGAACGGATAAACAGACGGTGCA